TCATCACCACCACCATCATTATCATGGCCGTCATCACCACCACCATCTCTATCAAACCCATCACCACCACCACCATCATTATCATGGCCGTCAACAACCATATGTTGGTCTTGATCACTATTATCAACTGTAACCTTCGTTGATCCAAACTCACTGGGAAACCACAGAGAGACTACAAACATTCCCAACCATAAAAGTGCAAGAACAATTCCAGGGGAGTTACCAGCGTCGATCTTCCAGCCGAAGATATTCACATTAAATATCAAAAACACGCTGACTGCAGGGCCCAAGAGGGTGCCCACGGTAAACACTCCATCCAATATTAAGAAGACTTGTGTTCGATGTTTCTGTGGTGTGTACAATATTATTTGCCCATAGACGACCCCGATAGAACCATCAGTGAGCCCACCCAAAATTCTCCCAACCAGTGGAAAATATGCCGAGACTGGAATTGCATACAATATATATGCAACAAACTTCAAAAACAGGCTGACGATAATAATACATCTACTGTATCCAACTCTATCCGCCAATTCGCCGAGGATAGGGCTGGACGGGAGTGCACTAAATTGGAAAGCAGACATGACAAGTCCGAGGAAAAGCATATTCTGTCCCAGAGATTTGATATAATACCAAGCTGTCGGCGCGATAAAGTATTCTTCTGCCCCATCTATGAATTGGCGTGCAATCATTGCGAAGAATATCCATGTCTTCAAATATGTTATTTCCATATCTAATTGCACTGCAGAGAAGAAAGAGAAACGATGCTTTTATAATAACAAAGTAGATTAAATTTTAAATTAGCTAAGCCACTTACCAAAGCGTAAGTACTCGAGTATTCTAAACCAATTGAGTCATTTATCGCAGGGAATAAGTGGTAAAGATGTCTCTGAATAAATGAGTAAAATTAGTTCAATAATGTGTTCACCGATAAAAAATGAATGCAACGTCAAACGTCGATGTTGCATGCAAGATTGAAAACCAAAGACAAAGTAGTTAAAGTATAACAAGAACATTTTATATATTGCTATCACAGTTTCACAAATGATTGGTTTTAATAAAGAACGTTAAGTAAATAATGAGGGGATGGAAACATTGAGAAGTTACATGGCCAGTAAGAGTTCAGGTTAGCATGCAGTAATTTATTTAAGAAAACATTTTCCGTGTTTTTATACAGTTCTAAAAATACGCGTGGAGAGCGTGGGAGATTCTCATTTGAATAGTGTATAGGTATTTTTTTGTGTAATTTTTTTTTGTCTATTTAGCGGGGGGGGGGAGGTACTTTAGATGATGACAATGTCATATCGCAAATATTGCACCACAAGTTTAAACACAACGTAGAAAAAGTTTAATATTTACAGCATTAGAATAAGGCTCGAAATTTATTTCCTCCCTCGAAAGTGCTTCTTTTCTTAAAAGACTACATAAGGTCGACACTTTCTATTCTTTATTCTAGAAAGTATGAGAGAACATGTATATGCAACGAAAATGTGCTTATTTTTTAGTTAACTGATCAACAAAAAACAATCAGTTTGAATGCAATTCAAATAGCGTATAAAATTTATGAAAAAGTAAACGCAAAATGAAGAGGGGCTAAAAACAAATATTAATAAATTTTAAAGCATCTAAATTTGAACGACAAATTTGGACATCAGAAGCGGGATGGCCATATTAGTATTATTTATTCATGTACATGCATGTTCACAGAGCGTAAAAAGAATCAATTTGAAAATAAATGAAAAAATTATTAATACATGCAATGACATATGAATATGACCCCAACCTCACTCACTCATCAATCTGGCGACGCCACTGTAGAACATCATTAATTGCACTCAATTCATTGCAAATACTGTTATTAATTAAATACATATCTTTTGCAATGCAATTCTATGGGCTAAAAGTGGTGCTATTTGTACAAAAACTTGCTTGGACAAAACAAATATTACAATTCACGCATCTTTGTTAATTGCAATACCCATTATGTTCCACTTCCATGAAAATATCGTGGTCTCATGATTCTCACTATCAAATCTGTGTGTCACAATAAAACTTTGCTCGCAAGAATACAATCTTAACAATGGGAAACTTTTATTGGGAAATCTATTACAAAAATTAGATCTTCCGATCAGCTTATTGTGACAATGCTTTGGTGTTATCGATTATCAAAAGTGAACCATAGATTTCCGAACTTTTGTTAAATGTTATTTGTCTAAGTTTGTATTAATAGACATCGAGGTCGGTGCATTTTGGACGGAAGCAACGCTAGTTTGTCTCTATGCATGACAATGTGGTAGATGCCTAGTTCCCATGAATGCAGCATGTTGAACACAAAGATACTCATATGAATAATTAATTTTTAATGTGATGGATATAATTATAGAAACTAGAACGACTTGAGCTTTCAAAGACGCTAAAAATTCAAGTATTCAAGCCCCTCTATAAATAGTCCGGAAATAGCGATACTTGATATTTAACATTATAATAAGCGGTGTTTGACGACACGGTTGAAATGCAACACAGGCTGTACAAACAGAAAGGGAAAAAAATGACGACAAAAAACGCTGGTCGTTATTTGCGTGTAGTTATTAGCTATAAACTTTCGAATGAAGATCTAGATACCGCCTTGCACAGAAAAAGCTTTCACAAAGGTGTTAAAGTTCTGATAAATTTTGAATGAGATATGACGGAATATAAAAAAAAAGTTGGCGTGATTGGTTTATATACTTAACGTGCTGCATGCAGCGTTCTCTCACTTACCTAACATTAAGAAATGCCGAGTTGAAACTAAAGGGTCTGATTTGATTTTTATACATGATGATAGTTATGCTAAAATACGGAGCTTTGCTTCTGGGAATCTTGTGCGTTCTGGAAATTCATGTTCATAAGATAATCTCCAAGCATTCATAAACTATATACTGCCTGTTTTACATGCTTTTATCCAAGCCCCGTTATCGTTTCTCTCTGTGTATTGCAATTTTGCAGACAGTTAAATTTTGGCATATTTTATCGAATAGTTATCTAATATTCAAGCATATTCTAATTTTCATTCGTCATTGAAGATGAACCATCAAACTTTTTGGGTTTGGGAGCCTCGCTGTTGGACAACACACCTTAATTTTGAGGAATAAATATACTAGCGGTGTACTGATTAAAGAACTTTGAAGTACCACTCGAAGTATGTACAGATATAGGATAACCAAAGTACCATTATCATATTAAGTGGCGTTACGTATATATAACGATACAGATGTAATGCAGACTGCTACCGGTTTAAACTGAAAAAAATATTCAACAAGTTCTGAAGCAACAAAGTTCACAAAATTGTGGTACGGTAGTTGCAATACCCATTATGTTTCTACTTCTATGAAAATGTCGCGGTCTCATTATTCTCACCATCAAATATGTGTTTCACAGTAAAACTCTGCTTGCAAGAATAACAATCTTAACAATGGGACAGCTTTATTGGGAAATAGATCTTCCGACAATGGCGTAGCCAGCCTGACGATTTAGTCATGCTATGCAAATTTTATGTTATTATCATTATTCATTTCTTTAGAAATTCATTGTTTTCACAGTCAATGAACACCAAAATATTAGCATAGCATGACTAAATTGTCGGGCTGGCTACGCCACTGTCTTCTGATCCCCTTATTCTGACAATGCTGGTATTATCCATTATCAAAAGTGAAGCAGTGATTTCCGAACTTGTGTTAAATGTAATTTTGCTAAGTTTGTACTAAAAGTCATCGAGGTCGGCGCATCCTTGTGTTATACGTTTTGGATGGAAGCAACGCTAGTTTGTCTCTCTGGATGACAATTTCGTAGATGCTTAGTTCACATGAATCCAGCATGTTGAATACAAAGATAGTAATATGTATAATTCCCTTTTAATGTGATGAATATAATTATAGAAACTAGAACGCTTAGTCATGCATACTTCGACTTGAGCTTTCAATGCCGCTCATAATTCATGTATTCATGTAGTTGAATTTTCTAAAGGAAAAGCAAGCTGTGAAATTAAAACACGATTTTAGAAAAAAAAATACATGTTTTATACAGGGTCCTTAAACATGCATGCTCCTCTTGAAATTCTACCCACATAGCGAAACCTGACATCTAACATTATAATAGGGGTGTTTCTTCACGACACGGTTGAAATACAACACAGGCTGTACACACAGAAAGGGAATAAAATGACGATAAAAAACGCTGGACGTTATTTCGTGTAGTTGGATTCCGTCCTTGAAGATGGACTATCAAAATTTAGTCAAATCCAATGTAACAAATTAAAAATAATAAAATAGTTTGCAATCTTCGCTGTTGGACAACACACCTTAATTTGAGCAGTAAACATACTAGCGGTGCGTTTGATAAGAGTAATTAGAAGTACCACTCGAAGTACATAGGGTAACCTAAGTACCATTATCATATTAGGTGGCGTTACGTAACGATACAGTTGAGATGCAATGCTAACTGCTACCTGATTAGACTGTAAAAAAATTCTGAACAACAAGTTCTGAAGCAATAAAGTTCACAATATTTAGGTATAATATTACTTTGAAAAACAAACACAACTGTTTTTCTATATTAAACTAACTATCAATAAGTGCCCAATAGAGTACACAGCAACATTGCTGACATTGCACGAACACACATAACGTTTAAAGCGATGCATGCACAGGCAGTTCTGTCTTCACCGGACGGTGCAGCAAGTATACCATGCACCCTGGCATTCGTGATTATTTTACCGGACCCGATATTGTTTATCATTTTCTTTTGAAAACGATTATATGGCTCATAAGGCTATCGCGTGATCTTTTAAATAAGGTTTTACCCGGCCCGCCCACTTCTCTATTTTAAAAGACCTCGACTTTATAAAAGGTGTTTCGGCCAGTGACAAAAATTCTGACAAAATTTCAGAATTCATTGAAACGAATAAAAACATTATTTAGTCGTATCAAAAGTAAATTATTTTTTAAAATAAAACAAAGAATTACCTTCAAGTTATAACTGCAAATAGTGACCTCAGTTACTGGGCTGAGATGGATTATCCAAAAGATTTCCCTGGATGGGACAATTCTCAGCTACGTTTGAACGTGTTGCTTGCCATATGCCAAGTGGACATCTGCCTAGTGGGTGCGGTGATAATCTTTCCACTAAAGAAAAAGAAAACCACGCATGCGCAATGAAACCTGACAATGTCGACATGTGAATATTGAGATATTATTGGATGAATCAAAGCATGATATCAGGAATTATTCAAACCAAGGTCAATTTCATCTGCTGAAGCGAGGCTTAGGTGAACATCGTGTGACGTCT